GAACTAAATATCAGAGTTCATTGAAGAGGTCCAGGAAACCTTCAAGATTTGAAAACTGTTTGTGTGGAAGAATGGGCCAAAATCAATGCATGCCACTAGTTTGTGCATGCAGGAGGCATCTTGAAGCTGTCATTGCCAACAAAGGCTTTTGTACAAAGTATTAGATAAATTTCAGTAAGTGTGTTCAATACTTTTTCCCTGTGCCATTCCACATTATTACAAATAACTTCATTTCTGGGCATTTATGGTTTGATTTCTTTGTATGTATGGATCACTTGGGTTGTTACCAACATCTGGTGAAAAGTTCATGTCATTAGCACCTCTAGTGATATATTTACTGAGAAAAATGTTGACGTGTTCAATACTTATTTTACCTGCTGCATATACATTGCGTTTTTTCCACACCTTCCTGATATATTTAGGTGACTGTATCGGTCAGCCTCTAATTAAAAACATACTTGAATTCCCAAACCTTTATTGAAGAGCAGCTTTTCTCCAGACGTTTCCCTGTCAGAGTTAGCTCCCTGCAGGTGTTAAAGTGCTGCCCTGGAACCTGCTGCAGGGATTTAATGTCTCCTTTGGTCTGAGAATGCCTCAGGATCAGACTCTGGGAAAATTTAAAGATGCACATTTCTCACTAAACTGATAATTACAGGACGGTACAGAGAGAGAACAATAATATTTAATCTGTATTATTGATGGGTTAATATTAGGTAGCTGCAAAAGATTCAAAGGTTATATCTTATTTTTATGATCTTCTGTATAAACAGAAATATTCTCCTGATACAGACAAAAAATATGTGCATATTAAAGTGAGTACGGTGGAATATCAAACCTTAAGAGGAGTATATTCATGAGGAAGAGAAGAAGAATATCCCGAAGGAGAAGTGTGCTTGAAAAAAACCTGAATAAAATAAAAAGCTGGGACAGGAAGACGTCCACTGAAAAGATTCATAGATAATTTTATTGTATTAGACACGATTCAAAGCAGATGTTCAGACAGAGAATGCCTAATAGGAGAATCTAATTCAATTCCAGCTGAGATTACATTATAAATTCACTCTAAGCCTAAAAAAAGCTTTCAATTCACAGGGTGTGTCAGACACTGGAGGAACTGTCCAGAAGGGCTGAAGCTTTCCGTACAAACACTGAGAAGAAAGTAGTTTAATGAGCATCGTAAGACTTGTTTTAAAAGGCTGGAATTATAACTGAGATTATGCCATTTTTAGAAACTTTACACTGCAGCTCTTCAATAATATAAACCTTCAGGGTTTCCTTTAAATCCAGAGACATGGTTTATTTTCTGTGGAATGGATTATTACTCAGATGAAAAAAATCTAATAATGCTCGATTACATTAAAATTTGTATCACAATGATTCATCATTTTAATTAGAATTTTGCAAACAAATAAGAATAAATTTGTTCATTTCTTGTAACGAATTGCCCAGGAATCGAATTTAAAATAGTTTGTTGCTGAGTTTTCTTGTTGATTCAACGCTGGTCCATCTCTTCATTTAGAAACTTGTTTGTGCTCGAATGATTCAGAACTCTGAGCAAAAGAAATAAAAACATTTGGACCTTACTGGAGAGGTTGAGGATAGTGATGCCCAGAGGCAGACTGGGGCAAAAAAGTGGCCCGGGTATTTAGTACCTGATATTCAAGGTCCAGGCTGGTAGATGATGTCTGCAAATGCAGGAGGCCGATGATGGAGGCGGAAACAACAAACGTCCTCTCAGGGCACTGTACAAAATCTAAAGATGTAATGTTGAGTAACCAGTAAAGTTATTATGATAACAGAGCAGCAGTTAGCTCACAAGCATTGACCCTCAGAGTTCCATATGGTCATTTTTGACTCATTTTGATTTTACCCCCTAAAAATAATATTATTATAATCTAAAGTGGTATCTTTTTCTTTTTCCAGCACATGAACTGTGCATTTAAACTATTTTTTTTCATTTGAATATACTGCTATGGTACATTAGACCTTAGTTCAATCAATCAATCAATCAATCAATCAATCAATCAATCAATACAAAAAAATAAAGTAAAATAAAACAAAATCCAAGTGGACAAAGTTATTTGTGAAACCCACAAACATTTATGGTTTATATCTTTTAGAATGCAAATGTATGATGTAAATTTCTAAAACTGATGTTAAAACATTTTAAGCAACACAGTTTTATAAAATTATCAGTTACTGAGCTCAGTTTGGACCTAGTCCACACATGATAACGGCTTTATCTATTCAACAGCTAAATGCATTGTTTTGAAAGTTAGCAAACTAGAAAAAAATACAGCCACCTACATGACTACCATCGTCATCCTGGTCACGTTGTTCTCCAGATGTAGGTCCCAGTGAGGAAGAGGATGATGATGCACCAGCAGAAAATAAATGTCATTCTGACACTGGGCTGAATTAGCTTGTAGATACTTTTTCTTTTCTCTCTATTTTTGTTCTCCTCCCTTATGTTTATTCTCTGTTTTTGCTCTTCTTATTTTTATTATTCGTGTTCTTCTTCTTACTTCTTCTTCTTCTTCAGCAAACTTTTCTTCTTCTTCTTTAGCAAACTTTTCTTTTCTTCTTCTTCTTCTTCAGCAAACTTTTCTTTTCTTCTTTTTCTTCTTCTTCAGCAAACTTTTCTTCTTCTTACTTCTTCCTCTTCCTCAGCAAACCTTTCTTCTTCTTTGGTCTTTGTTGGTGGTTGGTAAACAATGAATTGGTACATTATCACCATCTACTGGTATTGAGTGCAACTACACAACTTTTGTTTTTCCTCACTACCTGTGCCAGCCCAGATGCACTGGCCCACCGGGAAAAGTCCCGGGACTCCCAATGGCCAGTCCGCCCCTGGTGATGCCCCTGCATTTGGAACAGTAGTGACTCGAGTCATTAATATTATGACTTCAGACTTGACTTGAAAAACTGCTCAGAGACTTGTGACTTGACTCGGGACTTGTGGATAAAGACTAGAGACCTGAAAAACAATGACTTGGTCCCACCTCTGGTTGGAACCCACCACCCCAGTCTGCCAGTCCGGTGACACCGCCCTGATGTTGCAAAGGCGTGTTCAACTAAAACATCTCAAAACATCCAGAACCTTGAGGAACTCCGGGAGGGTACCAACAGGGTAAAACCTGCTCAGAAAGGTCAGATTTTAACAACAATCTCATCCTTTAAAGACATGCAACAGTTCATTGTTGTTTCATTTCTTGTTAATTGACTCCTGAATAATTGAAAACTCTGCCTCACAAAGAGCATCAGTGTGGTACACAGCACTTTACTGCTGCTCTGACATCACATCGTGTGCTGAATGGTTTCTGATAGGGGAAGTGTTTGCAGATCACGCTGATCTGTTATTGTCGTAAAATAAACCCTGCTGCCATCAGTGAAAACTGATCAACCAGGTAGCAAAATGGCTCAGAGTCACAATTTAAAAAGACTCACGCTTACTACTCTTTTAGTTTTAAGAAGACTTTAAACAGCCAGCTGCATTTAGTAAAAGCTTTGGAAAACATCCATTAAACACGGAGACGACTTGTCTGGGTTAAATTTCACCCTAGTTCACCAGGTGTTCACCAGGTGTTCTCTGACGGCTTCAGATACTGTGGAGGAAAACTCCTCGTGATGCAGACAATCACCAACAACAAGTGTTTGCATCACTGGCTGCAGCCATAAGTTAACTGTTTAAAAGCTATATATGTCAAAAAACTGTATTAATAAACTCGAATTACTAGAATGTGTTTGAAACACACAATAAGATACAGTTAGGAAATATTGGACTCTAATACAATTCTAATATGTTTTTTAAAGAAATATGCATTACACAGAGAAAATGCACAAAGTAGAAAATATAAACGAGAAGTTCTTCTTTTCCATTGTTTTTAATCAGTACCACTTTACAGTAAAGCTCCCCTTATAGATGACTCATAAATAGGTTAAGGTTAGATTAATTATGCATTAATTAAGGATGAGAAAGAGACACAATTGTCCAGTTTATTGCCAAGTAGTGAGCCAAATCTGTTCATGTAAATGTTATATATAAAGGTGCTTATTAAACATTTCACACTATGTAACTATGGAGCACCGAATCGGACATAACTAGAAAAGCAAAGCAGAAATAAATAAATGGGTCAATAAATAAATAAATAAATAAATAAATAAATAAATAAATAAATACACTTAAAATGCACCAATTAAATTATAAAACATAAGGTAAAGTTCTCCTTTTTATTTTATTTGGTGCATTTTAAGTGTATTTATTTATTTACTGTATTTATTCAATTGTAATACTACAAATTTAATCCTAAAAACCATCCATGAAGTAGGGGGGTAGTATTAGACATGGGTTACTGATGATTAGATTTTCTATGCTTTTTAAGCACAAAAAATGATGATCATATTATACTCAAGATTGTATTATACATGAATAAATATGATATTTATTGGTCCATTTATATATTTCTGCTTTTATTTCTGATTATGTTAGTTTTGGTCCTCCATAGCTTTGTACTTTGTAAGCACAATAATGTATTGGAAACACATGTTTTACATTTAATATTGTACTGTATTACTGCATTGTCCACAATTATCAAAGGAAGCATTATATTGTAGTGTAGTGTAGTGTTTTACACTTTATAAGGTAGAAACCTGGTCTGAAATGTTTAATATATGTAACACGTTTAGATGTAATACAGTACGTACATGAACAGATTTGGCTCATTATTTGGCAAGAAACCGGACAGTTTTGTCTCTTTATTGTCCTTACTTAATGCACAATAAACACTTAATAATGATTTAGAAATGATAACATATCTATAAACTATTTATAAGTCATTTATAAGGGCAGCTATATTGTAAAGTGGTCCTTTTTAATCTATACTTTAGTTTAGATGGTCAACAAAGGAACAAAAAGGTGTCAAACATTCAGAATCAGCCCACCAGCCTCAATGTGAGCAAAATAAGAACTACTGCCTCATTTAAATACATTATGTAAAATTACTCTTCACATAGGGACAAAATTGGAGGAAACCACTCATTACTGTAAACAAAAAAGATATGCTTGGTTGTGTTTAAATGGCATAATTTCAGATGTTTAAATGCAGATGTGCTTCAGCCGAAAGGAAGTTGTGCTGATAAATAATCCCAGTGATGGAGGAGTTATCAGCATCCTGTCCAACAGTATCTACTGCTCCATTTAATTTTTTTACCTATTTTTTTATCTTTCTCTTCAGGTCATTGAAGTTCCTCTGACAAGCTGTGATGTTAGGTTTAATTGAGATTGTTTTGTTTTTTAAAGGTCGACTGTAGGCATGAGCACACGCCTGTTTCTCTGATACGAGTTTTTAAATTGATTAAACCATCACAGGTTGTGGAGTACAGTAAATCCCCGCACAGGTTTGAATCCTGCCAACAACGCCAAACTGTTATGGTAATATTTATTTAACAAAGACAGAAATACGTGGTCCAAGAATGAAGGTACTCCGTGGGATG